AATTCAAAAGACTCCAAGGGCCACCCTTTAGACTCGATTTAATTTGAATAATCAACACTAAACCCCCTTGCATATAAATTACTCACAATTAAACTGTTTTAGCACAATTAGCTAAAAAAAATCAAAGAAATGCATTCAAACTCATAATCCAATAACCAAGCTACCTTGAATTACCACAAAATATTCTCAATAATCTCAATACATTAACTGCCGCCAGAAAATGTACTTGGAATTAAAGATACCAAAAGCCCAAAGTCAAAATGCAATTCAAAGACTCATAAGCAATATCCAAATTTCAACATATAAAGATAGAACCATTACAGCACATCCAAACGTTAGTAATCTCTTCCTGAGATCCAGGAATCATTAATACAATGAGAGGAATGAAAAATGGAAAAGTTGAAACTCCTCTTTGAAGCTCCAACTTCAAGCCATCACCACTGCTCTAGAGGATCATGGATCATGAAATTCAGCCACATCTCTGCATTATTGAAGCTTCACTGTATCCTTCAACAATCAAAGCCATGGCAGAAAATGCAGCAAAAGATAGATGAATGCTGAAGGATGGGTTTCGGTTGATGAGAGACAGAGAGGAGAGGCGAAGCCGAGACTGTGGAGGTTCAATTTTTTCGTTCAACTGCTCTGCTTCTCTTGCAACGCCTTTGGTCCCTAGTTTTCTGTTCTTTCAGTCGCATCGAGAAGAAGAAGAAGACGAAGTCGATGGTGATGATGATGATGGATGGATTCAAATTGATGGAGAAAAGGAATTGCACGAATGGGAGTGAAGAAAACAGAAGGTTGGAGAGATGATCGCCGTCGAGCTCGGTCTCTGGTTCTCTCTATTTGTTGCTGGTCCCCTCTCTCTCTCCTCATTCTGCTCACTCACCACTGCTCCTCTCGTCTTTGTCACTCCTCTCTGCCACCAGGAAGAAGACATGGAGAAGAAGGTGAAGGTGATGCTGTCAATAGAAGATGAAGACTCAGATTGGTGACTTCAGTCCTTCGTTCTCCTGCCGTCACTGGTCGCTCACTCTCGGTCTGCTCCCCTTTTCTCCTTTACCCCCGAAGATGGTGATGATTTTGAATTTTTTTAGGGCAGGTACCTGACCCCTCTTTTATTATTTTTTTAATTTTTTTATATTTCTTTCCTTTTTTTTTCTTTTCTTTTTTTTAATTTTTAATTCTTTCAAAAACCTGCAATTAAAAATTGAAAGATAAGTAGCATTAATTGTCCTTAAAGATCAATTAATTATAATTATGACAAATTTACCCCTATATTATGCACTAATTCAAGTTAAAGTACTCTAATATGAATTATATTCAAATAATACTATTAAAAACCAACAGTAATGATAAAAACCCACCAAAAATATATGAAAATACATGTAAAACATAGGTTTGTCACTGACATAACCGTTTTGTTTAAATGTTACCTCAAAATTGACCCCCCCTCTCTCTTCATTCTCAAAGTTGACCCTTCGCGGTTCCATGCATGGCCGCCATCTTCTCCATCCTCCAGCACTCCTCTTATCCCACAACATCGTCTTCCATTTCATCTCCGTCACCTCCAAGCCTTCCTCCTCCTCCATCCTCAACCACACTCTCTCTACTTCCTTCCCTTACCTCCGTTTCGGAATCTACCCCTTCGATGATACCTCAGTCTCTGGCCTCGTCTCCTCCTCCATATGCTTCGCATTGGACGACCCTCTCAACTACGGCCGCAACTACCTCCCCAACATCCTACCGCTGTCCGTCTGCGAAGTCGTCTTCCTGGACTCCAACTTGGTCCTCATCGACAACATCACCAAGGTTGCCGCAATGCCGCTTGGCTCTGATTTGGTCCTCGCCATGCCGGAATACTGCAACGCCAATTTCACCTACTACTTCACGCTGTCATTCTGGTCGAACCTGTCTTTGTCGCTCATGTTTACAGTCAGAGGGCTTGTTTTTTCGATTGTGATCGATCTATAGCAATGGCATGAGGGGGATTACACAAAGAAGATTAAGGACTAGATGGAGCTGCAGAAGAGAATGCGGATCCACGAGCTAGGATCATTGCTGTTGTTCTTGTTGGTGTTCGCAGGAAACATCATTCTGGTATAAGGGATAATGAAGAGAGAGAGAGGGTTAACTTTGAGGGGTTAACAGCTAACAAAACAGTTATGTTAGCCTAGAATATTGATGTACCGTTTTAATTACTTTAGGATATTGACTGTACCAAAAATTACTTTAGGATATTAGACGCAATTGAGAAAATGGCTCGAGGTGCTGGGTGAACTTTAATCCTATATAAAAATATATATTCAATTGTTTGGGCCCTAAGATCGGGTCCATATACTTGTTTACTCTTTACACAATATATAAAACTTTTAGAACTAGAAAATGAGTTTTCGCCCTGAAAAAAAAGGGCAGAAAATGCTGCAAGGAAATTTGATACGTTCCCGTTAACTTTGATTTTGGGGGAATAACAATTTGGGACCAATAGATAAATTTAATTTAATTTTAGGATTAAGACATTGGCAAATGGTAATTTTAGAAATGAGTGAGAGCTGAAAATTTCAAAAAAAATTATATGTTCATATAATAAATTTAACAAGATGACTTAGATGAAGGATAAAAGAAATATTCTCTCTCTGATCTATAAATAAAATGAGAGAGAAGTGTAGTAGGACTTTTCAGTAATTATCTTTTTTTTTTGGGATTTGATTGTAATTTAAAAAAAAAAAAGTGGGACCTGCTATATGTGATCTGTACTCTAAATGTTGGCCAGAGTAAAGATAAGGTGAAGAGAAACCTTTCCTATAATAATATATTAGTCAGTCAGAGTACAGATAAGATCAGATAAGGCTGTGTGAGTATTCCCTCATTCCCTTCTCCTCACGACGTTTTCATAAAAGATCTCACGTGCCATTTTATGTGGACATAAAAATTAGGAAAAATTCTAAAAAAAATATGTTTTGAATTTGAAAATCTTTGATCAGTTATTACTATGAAAATTTGTTGTTACTTACTTTTCAAGTGTAGTCAATTATTAACAAAATGTAGTAAATAAGACTAATTATTGACAAAAAAAAAAGTAATTTGAAATTTTGAAAGTCGAGATATTTTTTTTGGGATTTTCCACTTAAAATTATACATCTTGAAGTTTAATGATTTAAGGTAGCGAAAATAAACAATTGATTGAAAAAAAAAACTAATTGGAGCCGTGATGAAAGGAAATCAGTTTTAGTACTCATCCCAGTAATGAGCACTATAATACTTATCGCTATGGTGAAATCTAAACCAGACATGTTTTTAATGTTGTAGATTTAAAATTTTTAACTAGTAATTTTTAAATAAAAATTTATTTTTTAAGAAATTTACACTTAAGAGATTACATTTGTTTTGGATTATATACCTATTAATAAAAGGAAGAAATTTTTTTAAAAAAAATTAAATATTAAATCTTGGCTGTCCATATTAAATTTGAATGGTTGAGATTTGATGAGTATTATAATACTCATAACTATAATGAGTATTGAAACTAGTTCCCCATGGAAACATCACCGGATTAACTTTTGAGAAATCTCAGCCTGCAATAAGCTCAATCTTATTGATGCCTCTGATTGGAACCAAAGCCATACGAACACTATCATCGTCCTCGGCTTCTAAATCCTCGATCCAACAAATCATCAATCAAATATCAACCATATTCTTCAAATCTTATACTACCTCCGGTCCTAATTATAAGACCCAATTTGACTTTTAGTTTGATCCTAAATATAAGACCCCTATCCACTTTGTCTCTTATTTTTATTCATTTTTTCCCAAATTACCCTTGCCTGTATTACATTAACTATAGTCAAATATTACCATAATAATTTACTTAGGGAAAAATTTTACTTCCGCTCTCCACTTGTCATTTTTGAATTAAAATTTGATTAGGTTAGTTTTAATATTTTATAAATATATTAATACACTTTTAAATTATTAAAAAAATATATAAATGACTCAAATTGTTAAATTTTAATTTATATCTGAAAAAAAAAGAAAGAAAATGATAGAAAAATGAAGTCCTGGGCATTAAAAAATTGTTTTAAATTTATAAACTCGCGCATTATGACTGTAAGAAAATTCATTTTAAATCTATGAATAATTTATTTTAAAAATATATATAAACCACATAAAAAATTGTTAGATGGACTTTGTAAATTTGTAAATTCTCCAGAATTGATAACCATCAAATACCATAATGTGGTGGATTTCATTAATTTGAGGGGCTAAATAGTTCTTTGTGCACAGAATAGTATAAATTCTGATGACAGTATGAAAAGCCAGAACAATAAGTAGAACTGTCAAAAATATAGAAACAACCTTTATCAAAAAAAAAAATAGAAACAACATCAAGAAATACCTAAGCAATTCTGAACTTCCTATATCTTATGCATTTGTCAATCACTCTAGAATATCCATCATGTCAAGAGGTTTAACTTCATGTTGTTGTATTTGGGCTTGTATTGGGCCTAAGGTAGTTAGTCTAGGGCTTGTTCTATATAAGTTAGTGAAACAGGTCCTTCAGTGTAAGGTTGTATCGTCTTGGCCGCGTGGCCTATGTCAGTAATGAAAGAATTATTCAGTTTTCTCTGGTTTTCTGGTTCTTTACATGGTATCTAGGAGCCAGGTCGATTCGTTTGGGCTCACATGAATCAAAGTACTAATAATTTCAGTTAACCAGTTGAAGCCCAATCCATCCAACGGCGTCGTTGTGATTCTGTCATCCCTGTACTCTGTCCGGCTTGGTTAGAAGCCCTAGCTTGTGTTTGATTTCAGTTTCGAGAGTTCTTTCCTCTCTCTTTTCCTGTCAGAGAGCTTCATACCAGTCATCGTCCACACCTCCAGCAACGATTATCGGTAAAGAACTAGTCTTACGATTTCATTTCTTGTATTCTTTTGCCTTTCTTTTCTCCTTTCTGCGAACCCTCTGTTTCTTCTACCCTTCTTGCTTCCGATCTTCATTCGACATGGGCAAGGAAGATGGTACGGCATCTAGCACCCAAACTGTTGTGGATTTTACGCATCCTCTATATCTTCATCCGTCCGACACTCAGTCGGTCACATTAGTATCTCAAGTATTGCGAGGAGCTGAAAACTATGAGGTTTGGAGCCGGTCAATCACCCTTGCTCTGCTGGCCAAAAACAAAATGGGGATTATTGATGGCACATGTACCAGAGAAGATCAAGATCCCCATCTCTGTGATCTCTGGGATAGGTGCAACGCGATTGTTTTATCCTGGCTAATCAACTCGGTGGACAAGCAGATAGCCACCAGCATCGTGTTTTCGAATAGCGCTAGACTCGTCTGGCTCGATTTAAAGGATCGTTTTCATAAGGCTGATGGCATGCGTATTTTTACTCTGCATAAGATGATTAACTCAATCATCCAAGGCACTATGAACGTTTCAGAATACTACACAAAACTAAAAGATCTCTGGGAGTAGTTCGACGCCATCATGCCACTCCCCATGTGTAAATGTGATACTACACAACAGTATACCAAGACTATTCAACAACAGCGACTATTTCAGTTCTTGACCGGCCTGAATGATAATTTCCATCAAGCTCGCACACAACTCTTACTTCAGTCACCATTGCCCACTGTCAGCCAAGCATATTCTCTAGTTTGTCAAGATGAGTCACAGCAGTACATCTCATCACGGACCAATAATCCACCGTATGACAATGGCACCATGGCTGCCTGTGGTGGAAGACAAGGACGGGGCCGTGGACGAGGACGCGGTAGATCATTTGAAGAATGCTCACATTGTCATAGAAAAGGCCATAAACGAGAGAATTGCTATGAGTTGGTTGGCTTTCCCACTAACCTTCGAGGAAAGCCCGTCCAAACCACCAATACCAGTCATGTTGGTAACGTTTCATCCTCTCCCTCTCCGGCACTGAGTCAGACCCCCATTACTCAAGAACAGTACGATCAATTATTGAAGCTTCTGCGAAAAGATCAAGATGATATTGCAGTGGGGACAACTGACTATCTGGAAGAAACCATTTCAGGTATCGTTTTAACTGTCCCTAGATTATTTTATGAATCAAACTGGATACTTGACTCAGGTGCCACATGCCATGTTGTCAATAGTTTAAATATGTTTGCCACGGTAGATAAGTATGCAGGACCAATCAGAGTAATTAAGGTGCCCAATGGTGATAAAATGTTAATAACTCATGTGGGAACTGTTAAAATTCTTGATGACATTGTTTTGACTGATGTTTATTATGCTGTTGGTTGTTGTTATAACTTAATTTCAATATCTAAATTAACAGCCAGCAAGAAATTTGTGGCTTCCTTTTACTCTGATTATTGCACACTGCAGGACATCTCAACTGGGAGAACAAGGAGGATTGGTAGACTCTATGGGGGCCTTTACCTCATAGAACGAATTAACAACATGGATAATGTGTTGCATGTTTCCACTAAACAGACTATTTGGCATAACAGACTAGGTCATGTTCCTGTGAATAAGCTTCGCTATTTTGAACTGATTAGGAAAGAAGTTCCTGCTCTTACTGATGAGAAATGTATAGTGTGTTCCCGTGCTAAGCAAACCCGTTTACCTTTCCCCTCTAGTCATTCTGTTACTCGTTGCTGTTTTGAATTGATTCATGTGGATGTTTGGGGGCCCTATAGGGTTCCCAGTTATAAAGGATACCGATATTTTTTGACTATTGTTGATGATTTCTCTCGTTGTACTTGGACCTTTCTCATGATTAATAAGAATGAAGCTGTTCATCATCTCAAGAATTTTCTAATTTATGTTTCTAATCAGTTTGCTTATGCTGTAAAGAAAGTTAGAACGGATAACGGTTTAGAATTTGTTAATACAGAATTGAATACTCACTTTACTAGTAAAGGTATAATTCATGAAACCTCATGTCCCTATACACCACAACAAAATGGGGTTGTAGAGCGCAAACATCGCCACTTATTAGAAGTAGCTAGGAGTCTTCTCTTTCAGTCTCATGTTCCCCTAAAATTTTGGGGGGAAGCCATTCGGACAGCCACTTTCTTGATCAACAGAACACCCTCTTCCATTTTAGGTTATAAAACCCCATACGAAATTCTGTATAGTCACCCTCCAGACCTGTCATTTTTGAGAGTCTTTGGCTGTTTAGCCTTTGCAACAGTCTTGCATACTCATGATAAGTTTCACAATCGCTCTACTCCTTGTGTTTTCCTTGGGTACCCCAGTAATCAAAAAGGTTATTTATTGTATAATATTCAGTCCCAAACTCTACAAGTTAGTCGACATTTTACTTTTGAGGAATCTCGATTCCCTTTTAACGATGCCTTAGGTCCCAATCAAGGGGGAGATCGTAGCCAACACGTGATTGATCCCTTTAGCAATGACTGTAGGATCTATGATACTGATTTAGCACCACCATCTTTGGTTAAAGAACATAGTAGTCATGAACCAGAGATGGGGGATGCTGGGGATCCAGTACCTGCCGAGATTCCCCAATGTCCTAGAAGAACAGTCCGAGAAACAAGGAATCCAACCTGGATGAAAGATTATGTATGCCATGTTGACACTGCTTTTAGATCAATGATAGGCTATGCTTGCATTATGGATAATGATCAGATACCAACAACAAATAAAAGAATGGTAAGGTATCCAATGCAATCTTATTTATCTTATTCTCATATTTCACAAGACTATAAATGTGTACTGTCTAGTCTTGACAGCATTACAGAACCTACCAGCTTTGAGCAAGCAACCAAAGATCCTAGGTGGGTTGATGCAATGAAGGCAGAGATAAAGGCTTTGGAAGACAATGGGACCTGGAAAATCATGGAGCTGCCCAAAGGAAAGAGACCCATAGGCTGTAAGTGGGTCTATAAGGTAAAGTATAATTCAAAAGGTGAGGTAGATAGATTTAAGGCAAGATTGGTTGCCAAGGGATATAGTCAACAAGAAGGAATTGACTACTTTGAAACTTTTTCACCTGTAGTAAAAATGGTTACAGTTAGAATTGTTCTCAGTATTGCTGTAATGAATGGCTGGAACTTGTTTCAAATGGATGTTCATAATGCTTTTCTTCAAGGTGATTTGAAGGAGGAAGTGTATATGAGAATTCCACAAGGGTTTGGACAGTATGGAAACAATAATGTTTGCAAATTGACCAAATCCTTGTATGGTTTGAAACAAGCTTCCAGACAATGGAATGCTAAACTTAGTGAAGCTCTTATTCAGTGTGGTTTTAGGCAAAGTCTATATGATTATTCACTGTTTATAAGGAAAACTGAATCTGAAATGACTATGGTTCTAGTTTATGTAGATGATCTGGTTATTACAGGAAATTTGACTGAAAAGATTAATGAGGTAAAGAAGTTCCTGCATAACAGATTCAAGATTAAAGACTTAGGTCAACTCAAATACTTTCTAGGAATAGAAGTGGCTAGGTCAAAACATGGAATTATACTTAATCAAAGGAAGTATACTCTAGATACTTTGACTGACATGGGCTTGACTGCAGCTAAGCCTCTTGGTATACCTCTTGAGCAAAATATAAGACTCAGCAACAGACCGAAAAGTGAAAAGGATGATCATCTAATATCTGACCCAAGTGCATACAGACGGTTGATAGGTAAGTTATCATATCTCACTGTAACCAGGCCTGATATAAGCTTTGCTGTGCAGGCACTTAGCCAGTTCATGAATGCTCCAAGGAGGTCGCATTATAGGGCAGCAGTGAGGGTGGTGAGATACCTCAAGGGCTGTCCAGGACTTGGGATCAAGATTGCTGCAAATAGGGATGCTCAGCTGGAGTGCTATGTAGATGCAGATTGGGGAACTTGTCCAGATACTAGAAGGTCTGTAACAGGATATGTAGTGAAATTTGGAGGATCACCAATATCCTGGAAGTCAAAGAAACAGCACACGGTCTCCAAATCATCCACAGAAGCAGAGTACAGAGCACTAAGTAGTGCTGTTTCAGAGATTGTGTGGATCAAAAGGCTGCTGGAAGATCTTGGATTTACTAATTTAGAACCGGTGCAGTTGTTTTGTGACAGTAAATCTGCAATCTGTATAGCAAATAACCCTGTATATCATGAAAGGACTAAACATATAGAAATAGATTGTCATTTTGTTAGGGAAAAATTACAACAAGGAGTCATAAGTCTTGAGCATGTAAGGAGTAAGGAACAACAAGGTGACATATTCACCAAGGGATTAGGAAAACAAGATCATGACAGGATCTTGAGCAAGTTAGGGGCTGTAAACCTTTATGCACCCCAAACTTGAGGGGGAGTGTCAAGAGGTTTAACTTCAGGTTGTTGTATTTGGGCTTGTATTGGGCCTAAGGTAGTTAGTCTAGGGCTTGTTCTATATAAGTTAGTGAAACAAGTCCTTCAGTGTAAGGTTGTATCGTCTTGGCCGCGTGGCCTATGTTAGTAATGAAAGAATTATTCAGTTTTCTCTGGTTTTCTGGTTCTTTACACATCAAACAACACAGAATAAATCTTCAAGTTTTTAGAAACATATAAAATGAAACCCCATTCTTCAATCTCAATGAGGTGGTGACCGGTGAGTTCTTGTTTTGCATCAGTTAGTAGTTGAACCAAAGACCAGGTTGCCATTGAATCATCCAATATTGCCACAGCTATGAATTATCCAACACACAAAATTTAAGCACAATGCATACACATTAACCAAAAGAACAAGACAAAAAAAAACAGAAGAAATATTTAAAGAAAGGAAAAATTACCTCAAATACTCCATCACTTCTTGTACTTGGATCACACTTTATTTGATTTGGTAGTGGACCTTCCTTTTCCATGACTTTTTTTCTTATATGTGGAAGATCATATTTATTAGAACCTCTGTCCTTCAAGATTTCTACCATGCAACATTGAAGTGTTAAGAATATTTTGTTAGACTTAGTGGATGGAAATGATTCAAATGATCTAATCACTGCCTCAATCAAATCATCAGTTGTTTTTGGTGTTTCCTTGTACTGTAAAGATTGTATGCCATTAAAGAAGCCAAGATCTAGAATATTCAAGTCAGGAGAATTAGGAGGTTGGTTCATCAAGCGGATGCAAAACCCATCTTCTGTGGCAACTCGGTGGAACTCACTGTCATTTGGATCAATGTGACACCTTGCATTATCCTGTTGAATATAAATCGGCTCCCCTATTGAATCTCTAGGCCACTTTGCTTTTATAGCGGGCACAACATGTCCAATAAGAAACTTTCTACTAACTTCTTTGGTAATTGAAGTTATAGGCTTTGTTATCAATGAACCTGCAGGTCTATTGACACTCTTTCTCTTTGCTGGCTCTTTTGTCACTAAAGGAAAGACTCCAATTTTCCAGGAGAAAGTTTCATTGCCTCTGCAATCAAACCTTGGGCGGGCAACAGCAACCAAGAACATCACCTTTCCAATAAAGTTTTTGTTTTGCACAGTACGCAATGGATCATTT